AGGAAAGCTTTTGGTCTTGTCTTTCTACCCTTGAGATAGTTGGGGTTTATTTGGTTCTGGTGCTCCAGTGCTATCCTCTTCTCTATGGTTGCTGTATTACAAGACCAGGGGTGGGGTGCTGGTTTTCCCCCTCTCTGCGACCTTTCCAGAGTAAAGCTGACCTTCATTTATATCTGAGCCATATTTTTAAAATCTGGTTTGGATTTGACCCTTGGACTCCGGAAGAATGAATGTAATGTTTTAGTTTAAATTTCTCAGCCTTTCTATCCTTACACACAAATGGAGATTAAGTCCTTTCTCTCTCCCTTGTGAAATGCTGCTGCACGGGGCTAACTGGTTTTTATAGTGCAAATAGATTCATTGATAAACAAAAAAATATTCCTAGGGATCCTTACAAAATTATTAACAGTATTAAACAGAACCTGGCCTATTAAGATAAGCTATCAATCTAAATTTCTTCACTTTAACAGCTATAAAAGTTTTTTAAATAGGATGTTTTTATTTTTTGTCTTCCGATGTTTTTTTTTACAAGAGATCTCTGCTAATTGATGACCTATAGCAAAAGTTCTGACTAGTCTGTTTATAGATACAAATCTAAAAACTAAAAAGATTACTGTACTTCAACTTAGCTAATATGTCTAAGAGGCAATCTGATTTAAAGATAATTATTTGGTGTGTTGCATGTTTTTCCATCTGCCTGTTTCATGTGTGTTAATAACCAGTTCAAGTACCTTCAGCTTCCTTGTTTAAATATTTTTGAACTCAGCAATTTATTTTTATTTTTATTATTACTTTTGTTTATTGTTTTTGAGGTTTCAGTGGGAAAACCATTTATATAGATTTTCAGGGTAATCAAACTCATTTAAAACATTATCAGGTAAAAAGTGACCTAACAGGATTACATAGGAACAAGGTCCTTAAAGTTTGATAACATAAAGTTTACATATGATTTACATTAACGTGTATATGTTTTTATATGTTAACTTTCTGTTATATATTATATTTTCCTCTAACAGTTCTGCTTACATTGCTAAGTGATAAACACTAAAGACATTATCTCAAATACTTGTAGTTTGCTTCCAGGAGAACATGGCAGACAGTTTAGAATCCACAAGCGGTGCAGTGTGAGGAGTCCTACACAAGGGGAGATGCACCCTGCCAACCCAGGAATGAACTAAACTGAGAGAAACCAATTGGAAATGCAGTCCTGATGCTATAACAGCAACAGATAAAAACTCAGTGTGGAAGCTGGATCCCATGCCATTGGAAGCTGTGTTTTGAATTTCCTGCTGCAGATAACTGCGTCCCAATCTGCACGGCAGGGAGAAAGACATGCGAAAGCTCTGAGAGCTGGAATGGGTGAACCAAACAGCATTGAGAGCAGGACTGGCAAGGAGCCCTGCATCGACCTGCAGGGAGTGAGAGAAATGGGGACCCTTTCATAGACTAGGAGGCTCCAACAGAGGACATTCTGGGAACGAGCAGACTAGCTGGAACAGGGCCCTGCAGTGACTTTAGTCACATATTCCCCTCTCAAGTGGGAGTGGTGGGGAGCACTTGGCATGGTGATGCCACAGACTAAGATCCAGTAGGCTAGCCCAAATCAGGTCCCTGCGCCTGGTGATGCACCCTAGCAGTGAAGCATTCAGTAGGTTGACCTGGAGGGGCGGGCCCAGCAGAGGTTGCCCACGTCTGTGTCTCCCTAGTACACTGCAGTGGGCAGGAACACCTAGCCAGTGGATTCAAACAAACTGTAACAGAAAAAGAGAGGAAAAAAAAAAAAAAAACTGAGCCTCCTACAGACGCTTGTATGGAAGGAACAAAAAGTATGGGAAAAGGGAGTAACAAGAAAGGGTCCTCAGTCCCCAATCCTGAGAGCACTGGTCGGAAAGGTAAATGCAAAAGAGAATGAAGACAGAAAACATGCAATATCAGACACGGCACCTATAGACATACAGCGGTATCTCCAGAGCCTCATAGATGAGTTCAAAAATGAAGTATTTAATGAAATAAAGCAAGAAATAAGCAGAATAGTTAAAGAAATGCTAAGCACCACCAAAAAAAAAAAAAAAAAAACCAGATGGTGGAATGGAAGAACAGAAAAAAAGGGGAGAATTGTTTGATGGAGAAAATAGACAAAACATAGAATACGTGAAGCAGGTTCAAAGAGATTACCAGGAAACTAAAAACTCTATTGAAAGCTGGCGTAATAGCTTGAAAGAAACTAAGGATAGATTATCAGAACTGGAGGATAGATTTGTAAGGTGGGAGCATGAAATGAAAAACTTCTTAAAAATAACAAGAAAACAAACAGCAATAATACAAAGACTAGAAGATGATAAGAGGATCTATAACTTAAGAATTAAGAACATAAAAGAAGAAGTAGGAACTCAAACAAATGAACTACAAAAGCTACTCACAGAAATAATCCAGGAGAATTTCCCTAATTTCGCAAAAGGTAAAGATACTCAGATGTATGAGGCATACAGGACCCCAGCCACCTACAACCCAAACAGAGCTACACCCAGGCATATAATAATCAAAAGTCCAGAAATCCAATACAAGAACAGAATATTAAAAGCCATCAAAGACAAGAAACAGATCACTTACAAGGGAACACCCATCAGAATTACAGCAGACTTCTCGGCACAAGCCATCAAATCACGAAGAGTGTGGGGGGAAATAATTCAAGCTTTGAAAGATAATAACCTCCAGCCAAGATTGAGATATCCTGCACAACTGTCCCTAGAAATTGATGGAAAAGCAAGGTGCTTCCAGGATAAAGAGGAACTAGGGGAATTTGCAACCACCAATTCAACTCTACAGAGATTACTGCAGGATATTCTAAAAATGAAAAATACCAAGATTCCAGAAACAGTGGCAGAGAGGCCACAATAAATGGAGCAGAAAGCGAAATGAAGAGGACAAACTGACAACTAATGGCAGAAAAAGAGCTCAACAGAAATGAGGCAGAGAAGGTTGGATGGTAGGAACAGCCATTTTGGAGAAAACAAGACATCATAATAGCTAGTGCTGATTTAATATCCTCTTGTTTTGAAGTCCCATCAAGTTTTGTTCTTCTGTCTCCATTGGTTTTAATGTGTTGTATCTTATTTGATTTTATTATATGTGATAAAAAAACTTTTATAGACAAGGAGATTATACAGAAACCATTGTTCATTTTCTGTTAGTTGATTCTAAATACCCTGTAATACTGTCATTCTCTTGAACGGTTTTACATTGTCTTGATATGTTTGATGCTACAGTATACGAAGTTATACCCAAAGATTTTAAGGGAAGAGACACTATGGTAACTACTATTATGTCAAGATTATCTTGTGGTGAAACACTATTTTGCTTAAATGGCTATGTTTTGACCTGCGCTGTTTTGTTGTTATGCTCTCTTTTTTATCTCAATCTCCTTTTTATTATCTACTTTTTCATTTTTATCCTTTTAATTAATGGAAAAATAAAAAATAGCAGGACATTATAGTAACCCACTTTGATTTCCTATTAACTTGATTTGAAACTCTGTATTGCTCTCACCATCTTGTTTTGACTGATTTTCCTCTATTCTGTTACGCTTGATAGTAACAAGTTTGAAAGTATAGGCAACAACTATGAAGACAATAAGATTCATTGTGACGCCTATTCTGGTTGACTATTATCTTCTTTTGAGGTCCTCTAATGTCTCCAATGTTTTGGTTTTATTGGTCTTATTCTTTACTGTTTTGTTCAATTTTATTCTAACTGATGATATAGGCAATTATTTTTAAGATAACAGGAGGCATTATGGTAACCACTGTTGATCACCTTGTATTTTGTTTTTACATTATGTATTATGTCCATCCTTTTGATTTGACTGACTCTGTCCTGGTATGTCACATTTGGTTTTACTTTCTTCAAAAAAAAAAAAAGTAATAAGAACTGTGGGAGCAATAAAACCCAAAATGTGTAACTGTGATTGTACAAAAGAAAGGAAAAGAAAGTTCTCTAAAAGATATAACTGCATATATATTTAAGTGTATAAGATAGATAACCATATTACTGAGTTTTGTTGGATCATTGAACAAAACTGTTTGCAGTCTCACTCTTTGAAAGTCCCCTCTATATGCTTTAATTTTGTAACTTCAACAACTATTTCTAAGATGGCAATATGTAGTTAACTAGTGATTTCCTACTGTTTATTTTTTCTGAAATTTTGTATAACTTGTACCCTTTTTCTTTTTTTTTTTCTTTTTTCTCCTTAAATAAAATTTTAAAAAAATACTTGTGGTTTATATACCTTAAAGGTAAGCTAATTTAAATCATTTGGTAAGAGTGAAAATGTCTTTAAAGTTGGTAACATTTCCATTCAGGTTCTTAGGTGATCAAAATAATATAAAAATGAGTTTTATACAGGATATGTCTATTATTTTCTGCATATTATAACTTAAAGAGTTTTTCTTGGTCAAAGGTAGCATATATAGCATTAAGTGTTATCTTGGGTCACCTGAAGTAATTATGTTATGTTATGATGGGTCATCTGAAGTAATTGTTTTTTGGCTATAATTAAAAGTTTAAGTTTCTCTGTCTAAAATAATGTGGTTTTCTAAAGGTATTGAGATGGTCACAGTTAAACTTACAAAATTAAATTTAAAAGCAAAGGTTTCATATTTTACTAAAATAAGTTTGGACTTTTGGTTACTAAAAGTGAGCTTTAAGGGGTAAAAGAGTAATTGAATGATAACCTTTGAAGTGTGTTCAATAATCAGTTCATGATTGGTTAAATAACTATTATCTTAGTTTATAACATATATGTGGATATATATGTGTATGTTTGTGTATATATGTAAAAACAAGCTATGCTGTGACTCTAAAATTAAGTTTAGAGTGTTAAGACTACATAAGTTTAATAATACAGAGTAATAGGTTTAGATCTTAAACATATAAAATGATCAAAATCTAGTTTTCTTCTCCATTGTCTGGAAAGGACGTTGGTGTAGAGGACAGTAATGACCATGAGTTCCAGTGTGGTGGCCAAACCTCAGATGTGGGGCCTTCTGGGCAGGCGTCTGCAGATTAATATTGTTGGAGCATTCGTTGTCTCCCTGGGAGTTGCAGCTCTGTGTAAATTTGGTGTGGCTGAACCAAGAAAGAAGGCATATGCAGATTTCTATAGAAATTATGATTCCATGAAAGATTTTGAAGAAATGAGGAAAGCTGGTATCTTTCAAAGTGTGAAGTAATTTAGGAATACAAAGGTTTCTTTGGATTCCGTTCCATAGATATTTGTCACTGATCAGCATTCCTGAACTGTGAAACATCAGTATGTGACTAAGGAATACTTAGTTCCTTAAACACTTGTGTGGACAGTAAAAAAAAAAAAATGATCAAAATCTGATATCTCTTTTAATTTGGTCCTAGTATCTAAAGTTGATCTATTTGTTGTCATTAACACTATTTCTAAAACTTATCAAAGCAGTAAGAATTCTTACCAGTATGAATACACCTTATAAAACCTTTAAAAGTAGCCTAAAATTTGTCTTAAGACTAGAAACTAAATGTATATGAAGATTTCTACATAGCTGTGATAACAATTATTGCTAAACTTATGCTGTATTAAGTTTAATATTTGTGCTTTTCCAGTTTACAGGCCTTCAAAAACACAAGCCTAAACTAACAAACAAACAAATAAAAACTTCTTAGTTCACTAGTGATTTACGGTTATAATTTTTTTTAGGCTCAAGCCTCTGGCCTTCCCTTATTTGTGTTTCAGCTATTTGTGATGAAATGTACATGCAATCCAGTATGATATAGCCAGCTTGATGATGTGAATACTTTTTCATGCTTATGTTTATGTGATTTTTTGTGTAATTATAACAGTTCAAGATACCCAGACTCTGAAGTCTGGGCAATGTCACTCTAGAAATTAAGAGATTAAAGGTTAAATAATCTATCATGTACCTCTACAGACAAGTACTTTCTTCTCAAATGGCATTTTATTAAAAAATAACAAGTTGAGGTAAAATTTTGTGTCATTTAATATCTTGTAACTAAACAAAGATGACTGATCAAAAGTTATTCTATACCAAGATGAACATTTAAAAATGTTTTAGAGATAACAAAACCTAATTGTTCTAATGTCATTGTGACTGTTACGCTAAAATTTTATGCTGCCCATGATTTCAAGTTTTCTCTGTGGAACTTTTTAAATTTTATCTGTTAATATTCTATCAGGAGTCAACTTCTAAAACAACCATAACTGATAAAATCTACTCCTCAGGCAGGAGTCAATCACCACAGATTAAAAGGCAAAGAAATTTGGCACATGGATGTGACTCACTATGAACCTTTTGGCAAACTTAAATGTATTCATTTCTTGGTTGATACATACTATATAGGACTTGATAGCTCTAGAATCCCATGCCAAAGCAGATCCCCTTTAATCTGCATCATTCCAGACAGTCAAAGGACTACCGGTACAGTCCTTTATTCTTCAGCTATGTCACCCTTTATGGCAAAAATTTTACTATTTAAAACTCAATTATTGAAACAAAAACGGGAGAATAAGGCAAAAGAGACTTTACCACAGGAAAATTATAGAAAGAAATTTCTTAAATTTTTAAATTTGTGACTCAGAGAGCTTCACAACAGTGTAAAAAACATTTTATTTCCCAAAAGAATAGACTTTATCTATCTCACAGGGCTGGGTCCTACGGAATTGGTCATTGGGGAAGGGAAAATGTTTTATCACCAGGTAAGAAGCAAACCAACCCCTGAGCTGAAGGAGATGACACTTCCCCTCTGGGATGGGCAACAAGAGAAAGAAAACAAATCTATTACCCTCTACAACACAATCCTTACTATTTCCTGAGAAAAGATTAAACAGCTCACTGCATAGACTGAACAAACACTACAAACTGGCATTCCTTCTACATCAGAAAAACCTCTTCCTGACAAGTCAGCACAAGTCACCTATAACTCTAAAATGACAAAAGTAAAAGGATTTCTTTTTAATTCTGCTTCTGTTTAACTGTATACCAAAAGTACATGGCATGATATATTTGGCACATATACTTGCACCTCTGTTTTTGATATAGTCAACTGATGGGAACCCAAGCCTCCCCTCTCCTCCAAATATATCTCTGACACTGGCAGAGCTAACTGCCCCTCCTAGCCTTTTAAGAGATTATGATAAAAATTATAGCCACTCTGAATACTGTATTGGCTGGCATTTACTATCTCATGAGTGGTACTGTTTAGCTGAAGAATTCCCTGTATGTGTAGGTGCTAGTATCACGACCAGTATCAACTATATTCCCTCTCAAGCTCAGTGGTATATGAATCATCAGGCCTAACCATGCTAAAGGGAACTCATAGTCAAGTTTTCATTAATACTTTCAGAGTAATAATTTCCTTTGCATCTGGAAGGCACCTTCCTAGACCTAGTATTCCCAAATATTCTCATTTATGGGTACTGATGGGAGATGTTTGCGATTTGGAGTGAACTTCATGTCAGTCCACCAATCTACTCTGTTGTTCATCTTGTTTATAACATAACCCTAGAAAATGTGGGGGCTCCATAATCTGATAGTGTTACACTCCAATTCACCTGAAATTATCGTTCATCTTTTATTTATGGCAGTCGCCCTCCCTTATGAAATCCTGGGCTTGCTGGGCTTTTATCACATCTTTCTTCTGGCACCTACTTATATTGGTTTTAAAAAAGTCTTCGGGCATTTAACTTCCTTTCTTCCCACACATTGTCAAAATCAGAAGATCTCAACATATAGATGAGCTCACATGGATTGCTATGACACCACTGATCATGTCATGATCTGTATTTCCTGCCCATATATTTTGGTTCGCACTAAGGAAGAACCTGTTTTCACTAAGGAAGAACCTGTTTTCATTGTTTACATTTCATCCATTCTTCAGTACTGACCTTTTAAAGCTCTCAGTATTATCTTTCCTGCAAACTCTACATGATTCACTCCATAACAATAATAATACTAATATTTTTCTATTACTGTGTTACTCATATTGTGGTCCTTAGACTAATGGCTAAAGCCTACCTCTCCAATAATCTTACATGTGATTGAGTGGGAAACACTGTTCATGAACAAATTACCTGAACACTTGAACATCTCAGGCAAAAGTGGTTGTGTGAATTATAGCAATGATGGCACTGGAAGACACTAGCCATAGCAGTAGATGCTATAACTCATTTTATTCAACATGTCCAACATGTATGACTATTTTCATAATGTTACTTCTGAGGCCTTAAACCTATATTGACAAGGAGACTTTACAAAGGCTTGATGCCCTTGAAGTAGCTATTGGATGGCTCAGCAAATATCAACAAGGTTTTGGACACATAGTAGGCTCAGCCCTGATACTGAGTATTGTTCCATGTGCATCACTCCATGGCCGTAGTCACTCTGCATCCTGGTGTGAAGTCCAGCACATACTTGATGGTGCTTTTCATGCTGACCTATCTCAATGGAGAAATTTTCACTTTCCATTGCTGACTACATGTACAGTTACATAAACTTCATTGGAAGCTCATAATGTTACTTTTGATAATCTCAATGATATCGCCTATTTGCTGAATCCCAAAAGTCAGCTTTTTGCCTCAACGTTTGCATTTGGATTCTCATAGCTATTAGAATAATTTTCTTTTTGCTGTTTCTTGCAGTTCCAAGAGCCATCTATACACTATTTGAGTCCTTTGCATATAGATTCTTAAAACTATTGGAATAATTTTTTTTTTGCTCTTTCATGAAGTCCTAAGAGCCCTTTATGTACTACTTTAGTGGATGCTGTGTGAAAAAGGCATGATGACCCTTCTTCATCAAGCCTAATATCCTCCTATCTTTACCCTGTCTGTCATTCCCAAATACATGTATAAAACAAAAAAGGGAGTATGGGGGGTATTGTTCAGAGATAGGTATGAGATAGATATGCAGAAGTAAACACTTTTGGAACCTCAGGGCCCAAACCTCCCACAATGCATGGTTAGAGATTCAAAGGTAGCCTACAGGGTCACAAGTTCCAGTAGTATTTTTTAAAAAATGTTTCCTGAAGCAGTGACTGCTCTGGTCCTCATTCTCCCCATACTCCGATTTATTATTTCCTAAGTTGGCCCTAAGGCCAATCATGTAACAGATCAGCCTAACCTTACCTTGTCCTTTCTCTTTCCTCTACAGGAATTCTGCACTTACGTCCTTCCTTTGTCCTTTATCCTTGCTTCCTGTTCTATTAATAAAAAGCCACAGAACTTTGGTTCAGGGAAGTCTTACTGAGACTGTCTCACACTGCGGGATCTTGGTTAAGGGAAGTTCTTCTGGACCTTCTTGGAGTTTGAATTGGACACTGACTCTGAGTAACCTTCATCCTTTGCGCCATGCTACAGTGATGAGCTGCAACAAGATCGCCTTGATTCTTACAGGTTGTACTTCATTTTTGTGCGTATGTTTGAATATTCACATGATATATTAGTATGACCATAAAATTTAAGATTATATGGAAAATAATATGTAGAGAGGATCCTCTTACTTATTTTCAATTCTTAATTCTTACCATTAGATAATCAATCTAACTGAGTTTTTAGAATTTTCATTCTTGTGTTTCTGTTTATGACTAAACATATAAATTATATTTTCTTGTATCTCCTTCTTTCATAAGACATAAAAATCTATATACTCCATGCAATTTTAACTTTACTTTTTCTTATGTAACAATAGATCCTGTAAATCAGTATTAGAAATACTTTTTTGTAACTCATTGCATATACCATATCTTATTTAAATATTCTCCTATGGGTGGAGGTTTTTTTTTATCATATTGGGCAATGATCAGCAATAATGAGATGAATAAATGTATGCATGTGCATTTTCAGATAGTTAGGAATCTATCTGGAGGTTAAATATCCAGAAGTGGAATTTCTCAGTAAAAAAACTACAACATATGTAGTACCACAAAATGATGCCAAAGTTTCCTCCACAAGTTTATGCCAATTTGCATTCTTACCAAAAAAGTATAAAAGTGCCTATAACTGCATATTTTGTGACCCATATATGTGACTAAACTTTTTAATTTTTACTTCTCTGATAAGAAATATCTTAATATAATTTCTCATATTCTCATTTCTAATATGAATACAGTTGAAAGTATTTTCTTACATTTAAGAACTACTGATATATGTACATATGTTCTATATGAATATGAAATATATAGTCAGAATGATTATTATTCTTCAAAAGAGGTGAGTGGCTATTAGTAGCAAAATGCAAAAATTAACTGAGCTTATAATTGTAATTTTGAATATATTTCAATAAGGATTTTTAA